TCTTACACCACTGGACCTTTCTCCACTACCACATCATGAGCATGCAAGCCAAGATGGAGAAAGAAAGGCTGAATTTTTTAAGAAGCTGCATCTCAAGGCTAAGGAGAATGTAGAGAAGAAAACACTTCAGTACAAGAAAAATGCAGACAAAAGGAGGAAATAAGTCAACTTTCAACCAGGAGATTGGGTGTGGTTGCACATGAGGACAAAAAATTTTCCCAATCAAAGGAAGTCCAAACTTTCGCCTAGGGGAGATGGACCATTCAGAGTGTTGGAATGTGTCAATGATAATGCATACAAACTGGAGCTGCCAGGTGAGTTTAACATTTCCCCCAGTTTTAATATTACTGACCTATCTCCTTTTGATATTGAAAAAACAGTACTGAGGTCAGAACCCTCTCAAGAGGGAGGGAATGATGCGGACATCAATCCTTAAGATGTGATTCCCGCCATGAGGTTTCCACCAAGGACAAGAGCTGGTACAAAGAGACTTCAAGAAGAGTATAATCAAGCCGTGAACAGTCTACTTAAGCCAACAAGCACTTGAAGAAATAACGGACCAACTTGACAAACTCGCCATCACTTCAAAGGATGGTTCACAGGAGACACTTGAAGACCACATCACTCAAGTTCATGATGCACACCAGCAGGACGGTCCATACATCAAATTCAACTCATATGAAAAAGCTTGGCCGGTTATATCATCCAACCAAGGAACCACCTTGTTTTCCATCAAACCAAGCTGAATCAAAGCAAAGGAGAGATCAAACCGGACTTCCAAATCTATCAATCCACCCACAGAAAATCAAGGTAAGTCTTTGAATTATTTATATCATATTTTGACTAATCTCTTGTGTTTGTCTTTGTTTGATCTCAACAGCTAATTCCTTTAAAATTAGCAATGTTTTATTTATGAATTTTTGTATTTCTTGCTTTGTTTTTCCTTTGATTTTGCATTTTTAATTCTTGCATTAATTATTATAATAAATTGGCCAAAGAAGCCCTCAGCTGCTTGAACCATATATAAGGTTCCATTCAGCTATGTAATTTTTCACACTTGATTAATAAGAAAAACCCTTTTTGTTGTTCTTACAGAATTGCAAACAAAAACCAGAGTTCTTTGAGATTGTGTGAGAAGCCTTTCTCTTGAGTTCTGGACTTATCTCTGCTTATTCCATAAAGCTGAGTGGCGTCCTTCATCCCACCATCCTTCCATTTTATCCACTGATCAAGTCTGAAAGAGACTTCAGTCCAACAGATTGATCCCATCACCATCCACTTCGATCATTTCTTTGAACAAGTAAAAAGAGACTTTAGTCCAGCTGCTTGTTTCCATCCATTCACTTGTCCTTATAAGATTATACCCCCTTGATCTTATATCATTACCCCGTATGATCGTGCGGGTAGTAACCTAGTACTATTTAAATTTTGAATTAAAAGGTTGGTGAATAATAATGTGAGGCTTGACCACGTTAGAGAAGTGAAGCTGATATCAAGGATGATTGAAAAGAATGTTCTGGAGAGTAAAATTCATATTATGATAGTGGTGATAGTTTAAGTTTCGATGCAGTAGGAAAGGAAATAGTGAGCTGCTAATGTAAAAAGATTTCATGAAAACAAATAGTGCATGTTTGATTTGCCACAAAGAAAACATGAAAAATGAGTCTATTTTTGGACAGAAGGGATGACACAGTCATCTCTTAATATTTTTTTATAATGTGAAGCTTTTGTTTTTGTGTTAGTTCGATAAAACTAATCTAGTAGAAAAGAAAAGTGACGCATTTCAATTTCTAAGATAACACGTGACAATATATTAGAGTTGTTTATGAAAAAAACTTAATTATATTTTTTATAGTTAAAAACAAAAGTGACATATATTATTTTCTTAGATGCCGCATAAGAGCATATCAGAACTGCTTCTGAAAAAAAAACTTACTTTAATCTGAGAAAAAAAAATTTCAGCGTTATTTTGTGTTTGTTCGATAAAAGAGAATACACTAAAGATAAAAAAAAAAAAAAAGTAACATAGCCACACTATATTATATAAGATTTGTTTGAGTGATTTGATTTTTATTTATGTTTGTTGGATAAAAGAAAATAATTTGGACAAAAATGAAACAAAAATTAAGTTTTTTTGTGTGTTTGTTTGATAAAAGATAACTAAATACTAATAATTCAAAAAATAACAGATGTTAAATCCTTAGATGCTACATGATATCCGAGTTAATTCTGGAAAAAATCTTACTTTATTAAAATAGATACTAGGTGGTTGCCTGCACATATGTGCGGGTATAATTTTTTTATATACATAGTTAATTATAATATTTAAATATTGATTAGTTTTTTTAAACATTGGTATGTTTGTATATATATTTTTTTTTAATATTTCACAAAGTTCTTTTTGAAACCTATGTATTTAAAAAACTTTTTTTATAATGCTTGTAATAATATATAATCACAAATATAAAAGTTATGTTAAATAATAATTACATTTTTATAATATTTTTTTGACTATTTCTATAATATGCTTTATTTCTCCTTACACAATCCACAATATATTTTTTGCGTCTTACAAAATATGAATTTGCAAATACATATATAATATATTTTAAGTATATATTTTTCTTGATTTATTGCAAATTAAACTGAAATAGTTTTTACCATTTTTACTTATTCTTAAGAGCGGATAGATGGTTGGCACGCATGCATGTGCGGATATATCAACCACTTCACTACACTTAGAATAGATAAATATTTTTTTAAAATATAAATTATATAATAATTAAAATAAAAATTAGTCTATAATCAATCTTAACAAAATATATGCACGAAAAAATTCGCATGTGACTTCAACTAATGTATAATTAATATTTATGTCTGTTATTTGTAAAAAAAATTGAAATATGGCTCTTAGGTGTTAAAAAGTTTTTAAGTGACTTTGTAAAACAAAGTACGAGAGATTTATTTTTATACATATTGTTTCATCTTATTATAATTTATTCTTCCTTTCGGTTATTTTTCAATTTATTTATGTTCTCAAAATTTTGATATACAATGAAAATAAATTTATGTATATATATATGATATAAAATTATTTTTATTTTAAAATATGTTAAGAGATAAGATGAGATGGTAATATAAGTTATGTACATTTTAGAAAACAACAATAAAAAGATGATAAAAGTTATAGAAAAATATATGGTCCTATTAATATTATAAATAATAATTAGTATATAATTTCTTTATTTAGTAAATATTTGTTTGAAAAAAAAAATTATTTAAAACTACGTTTTTAAAAAAAAATTAATAAAAGTTGATTATTTTTATTAGTTTTAACATTTTATTCTTTAAATTATTTTATCATGATTGTATTTTATTTAAAATTTTATTATTTAATAATTTTTTATTTAAAACTTGTTTAGATGTTATTAATATATTTTGTAAATTAATAACTATCCGAAATAAAAATATATCATACTTCAAGTATTATTAATAAATAAAATTTTTATTATTCTATTGGATAATTTAGTTTTATTTTTCGTTTTATATGAAATTATAATATATATATATATTGTTGAATTTTTTTCGTAATTATATTATATGAAATTATGAATATATTTAAAAATTGAAATTATAATAACTTTTATTTTTTGTTAATTTAAATTTGTTAATTTTAGTGTTATAAATATAATCTAGTTTATTTATGATTTAATTCCACAATTTCTGTAATTTTAATTCAACCAATCAAAATATTTCATTTATTTTAGAAAGTTTGACATGTCATATTTACATGTCATCAATTAAAAGCACTAACTTTTGTTGTAGTGTTGACAAATCAACTATTTTCAATAATGTTACTTCTCAAATAATATAGTGAATCTTAAACTTTTTGTTTAACAATATTAATCCTCTGGCCTAGATTTTGTCCTGCGGATATCAGAAATTTAGAAAGTGTTTCTAAAACTATGTTATTTTATCAATTGTTTATCAACACATGCCAAAACTATTTACAAAAATTTATGCATATATATGTTGGAATCAGTATTTCGATCCAATGACAATGTTTGGGAGAGCAATTAAAGAAATGGTAAAGCATTTCTCTAAATCTGTGTCTGCATGAACAAAAGTGTTTTTTTTTTCCTGGTTCACAACTTATTTAAGTCAAATTAAACCGAAATTATAGAGTATAAATAAACACAAAATTATTAGCCAAAAAATCCACCTCTACACGATTGAAGGGGGAATACAAGGTAAATATTAGATAAATAGTTTTTAAAAAATTGAGCGAGTTATAATCGATAATCAAATTTTTGACCAGCTTGAGATCCAAATAGGATCCTAGTTTTTGCTATTAAAGGCAAACGAACAGATTTTTGACTGGTAATGCTTTGAAGCTGTATTTAAAAAACACTTTTCATAAAAGAGAAAACTGAAAATGATATCTCCACTAGAATGTTTCCACTGTTAAAAAACATAATGAAAGTCATCTTTTTTTAAAAGGTCTTGTTAATAAAAATTATCTCTCCACTAGAATGTTTCTTCTAGCATTTTAGACACTTTTTTCACTTAACATGTCTTGAAATATTTTGTCACGAAATCACAAGTAAAATCTTGCATTTTAATTCAATTAATTCCAAATGAATCTTTTAACTTAGTCAACTTAATGTGCAGTTTTCAACCACACAACACAATCTCAAAGAAAGTCAACGTTTTCAAGATAAGTGGACGTCACCAAGAAATAGAATTTATGTAAACCAAAATACCTAAACTTTTGACAATCACGCATCTGGCCCATCTCTTAGCACACTATCTTTGAACATAATCATAACCACCAAAGAAAATAAGAAAATGGATCTTTATTTAATTGAAATGTAAATATAAACAAGTTTCTTCATTCGCAAAAAAAAAAATATATAACAATAGACATCCATTTCCATCTTGAAGTCTACCTAATATTGTGTTTGGATTCTCTCTTGCGCATATACACTATTAGGTTGCAGATGCAATAGGGATGGCAATTTCAAAACCACTCTCTGCATTATCTTGCATTTCGTTTTTAGCTCTATATCTTTCTTTCTACACAATCACACCTTGTAGCTCTTCAACCTCTCTACAAGATGACTTCATCAAATGTATCCACGAAAACACAAATGTCGATTTCCCACTCGACAAAACATTTTTCGCTCCCGAAAGAAACGCCTCGATCTTCGTTGAAGTCCTTGAATCGACGGCTCAAAATCAACGGTACTTGACCAACTCAATGCCTAAACCGGGTTTGATATTTAAACCGGTTCACGAATTTCACGTCCAAGCTTCCATCATTTGCTCTAAGAAACTCGGAGTTCATTTCCGTGTTAGAAGCGGTGGTCACGATTACGAAGGAGTGTCTTATGTTTCACAGATCGAAACACCGTTTATAATTATTGATTTGTCGAGACTGAGACAGATCAATGTTGATATTGAAGACAATAGTGCATGGGTTCAAGCTGGTGCTACAATAGGTGAACTTTATTACAGGTAATATAAGTCTCGTTTTGTTTCAAAACACCAATTTTATGCGTTTGCGTTTTATACTGTAGAAAATTTTCTACACAAATTCACATTTTCAAAATATTGAGTGATGTTTATTTTAACTGATTTAATTTGGAATTATATTATAACTTGTATCTACTCTGAAATTTATCACTAATGACAATTTAAAATTGGAGACATCACAATTGATTTTGATTTCTAAATAGGCAGAAAAAAAACGCTACTTTTTTAATCTTTCTTTATTTACCCATTTCTTAATTCCTTCTTCATTTTTATTATATATTTTAGTAATTTTAAAAATAGAACAAAACAAAAACAAGCGAAGTGTATTTTTTATAAAGTTACAAAAAAAATGATCAATATCTTTAATGTTTTGAAATTTCTCTTATTTCTTTAGGATGTCTAACAATAATACTAAATTTTTTACTCAGAAATACATCCGAATCATCAAATCGCCTAAAACAGATCTTCTTATTGGTATTTGATATATGACTTTAACTATATTATCTTGAACCTTTTTCTTTTAAATACTAATTCAAATACTGATTTAAAGTTTTGACTTTAAACTATAGTAGGAAATTGACCTGCATGAACAGATTTTAATTATATAAATACAATATCTAACTCATCTCAAATATTTAACTTTTTGTAGTACATAAAAATTAGATCCAGCGTTGGTCCAATTTTATCGTTCACCCAATCTACTTGCTGAGTAATTTCTCAATTCTACTTGTTTCTCAACGTACAATTTTTGATTGTTATACACTTATAGATATGATCTAATTAAAAATATATATAGATTGATATTATATTTTGAAATTACAGACTGAAATAAAGTATTACCCAAAAATCAAAAAACAATTTTGAGTTTAATTCAACATAGCAATTAAACCAACCTGTATAATTTTTTTGTACATATTCTTGTTAACATGCTACCTGCGTATACATGTTTAGTTTGAACAATTTAAATGTAATGTGGAAATGATGGCATGTAATGATAAATTAATTATGACATATCAAGTTTTAGTACACATGGTTTGTGACATAATATTACTTAATCTATATATAATATGATATGAATTTTAAATATTCAAGTTTGAGACATTTACATGAAAATGCACTTTGTAGGGTTCTTTTACAAGAAATAGTACTTTCTTCAACTATGGTAGTTTTTTATCCTTTTTCCTAGCATTTTTTCATAATGCCCTTAATGAATTTTGTTGGTGCAAACATCACAATGGATGTCTAGGTTAGTTTGCAATTGTGATAATATTTGAGTGTCCATAGTGAGTGTGCCATATGGATAGACAGTGAAAACGAGGTTTATGTGTTGGTATGTCCATGGAGGTATATCTATATGGATGTCCTCGATGGTTTACAAAAGTATATATGTTGGTATGTCCACGATGGTTTATCCATATGGATGTCCAAGCTAGTTTACAAGTCGTGATAAGAGTTTAGTTGTCTATAGTGAGTGTGTCAAATGGATAGATGGAGAAAACAATGTATATATATTGGTATGTCCACATAGGTGTATCCATATGAATGTCCATGGTGGTTTATAAATTGTGATAAGAATTTTGGTTGTCAATGGTGAGTATGACTTATGTATAGACAATAACAACGAGGTATACATGTTGATATATCCACAGTGGCGTATCTATATAGATGTCCACAGTGCTTTACAAATTGTAATAAAATTTTGGTTGTCCATTGTAAATGTGCCATATGGATAAAAGAAGAAAACGAGGTATAAATGGTGGTATGTCCACATTGGTGTATATTCATATAGATGTCCACAGTGGTTTACAAATCATGATAAGAGTTTTGGTTAACCATAGTAAGTGTGCTATATGGATACACGGAAACGAACAAAGTTTAGATTTTGGTATGTCCACAATAGTATATCCATTCCGTGGTAGTTTACAAATCATAATAAAATTTTGATTGTCTATAGTGATAGAAGGGAAGGAAGGATACAAGTGTTTTTTCAATAGATTAAAATACTCTCTTTGCACAAAGTGTTCTTTCTTAATGTTATAGTGTAGAAAAGTACTTTATTATGTAATATTCTTTTCAAGTTTTTAATAAAAAATTTGGGAAATGAGATTTTTATCAAATAGATTTAAAATCACATATTGGACATAAATTTTTTTTTACGGATTTCAAGAATTTGGCAGAAAATTTGTGGCAATCTATTTTGCAAGAAAGTTTTTAATACAACAGTTTGGACAGAAATTTTTCGGAATCACAACTTTTGGCGAAAAATCGTGAAATCAAATTATTGACAAATTTTTTTTAATCATATTTAATAAGTAATTTTTTGAAAGACAATTTATGTAGTCACTTCTTTGACGGAAAATTTACAGATTCACTTTATTTAACAAAAAAAATATATTTTATCATGAACGGAAAACTTCTGAAATCATATTTCGTCTTCAATGTAGAATTTTTGATATATAATTTAAAAATTATAGTATTTAGTGAGAATTTGTGTCAACAAATTTTGATGGAAAGTTATTGAAATCACTTTTTGACTGAATTCATAATTTTGGGGAGTGAAATTAGATTTCTGACAAAAAAAGTTTTTAAATTTCCATTTTTATGGAAAATTTATGACTCGAAATTTTTAGAATCACAATTTTTAATGCGAATTTTTGGCGGACTTTTTAATAGATTTACTTTTTGGCTAAAAATTTACAGAATCAAAACATTTACGAAATATTTTTAAAATCATCTTTTTGACGTAAATGTTTTAGTCGAAAAGTTACAAATTCATGTTTTGGCAGAAAATTTCAAGAATCGGGTTTTCTCGAATTGTTTTTTGAATTCATATAGTTTTTTAAGTGTTTTGGAAAAAACTTTATGGCTTCACACATTTGGTGGGAAATTCATGAGATCAAAATTTTGAATGATAGTTTTCGGAATCACATTTTAAATATAAATATTTTGGCGAATTTTTTTAATAGATTCACTTTTTGGCATAAAATTCACAAAATCAGAATTTCGAACAAAACATTTTTGGAATCATATTTTTGACTTTTTGGTGGGAAAGTTATTGATTCCCATTTTTTGAAGAAAATTTGCGGAATCGGGTTTTTGATGGAAACTTTTTGAAATCTTATTTTTAAGTAATTTTTTGGCGGGATATTTAGAAGTTCAAGTTTTTTTTGTGAAATTTACGGAATCAGATTTTTGGCAGAAAAATTTCTTAACTTTTATTATCATCTCATCTTGTTTCATTACAAACAAAGAACAAAAGTTTAGATTATATTTGAATGTATTCCAATTATATAGTGAGAATTAGGAACAAGAAATGGGACGAAAGATGTCAGAATGAAAAAAAACTATAATATGATGAAAAAAATTGAATAGAAAGTAGAAGAAAAATAAAAACAAGAATAAAGAAGATTCAATTTTATTTTATGTTTTTATTTTAAATATTTTGAGTTTTTTTGTATATTTTGTCTTTTTCTATATATAATTTTTAAAATCTATTAAAATATTTTTTCACAAAATTTTTTTTTACAAATATATTAATAGACAAACGAAGCACATCTTTATTTAAAATAATAAATATTATTATTTAATATTAGTAGTAACTATTTTTTATTGAAATTCTCATGTCCGCACATAAACTATACATATCTTCAATAAAATATATAGGGTTTATAATTTATAACACATGTTTTGTAAAATGTCAATTATTTGAATTAAAAGAAATTAAACACAAAGTCTTTTGCTATGTCATAAACCACATGTGTTAGCAAATGTCATGTCACAATTATATCATTATTACACATCATCATTTCTATGTCACATTTAATTATGATAGATTTATGATTTTAACCAATCAAATTAAAACAAATCATAAATTTTCATTAAACTACATTCTCAACTTTTTGGAATCCTATTTTTAAGAAATGTTTTGGCAGGGATATTTACAAGTTCAAGTTTCTGTGTGAAATTTGCGGAATCGGAGTTTGGCGGGAAAATTTCTTATCTTTTATCATCATCTCATCTTGTTTCATTACAAATAAAGAACAAAAGATTATATTATATTTAAATATATTCAATTATATAGTGAGAATTAGAAACCAAAAATGGGACGAAATGTGACGGAATGAGAAAAAGACTATAATACGATGAAAAAATTGAATAGAAAATTGAAGAAAAATAAAACAAAGAATAAAGAAGAATCAATTTTTATTAAGTTTTTTCTTTTAAAAATTTTGAGTTTTGTGTATATTTTATCTTTTTGCTATATACAATTTTTTAAAAACCTACTAAAATATTTTTTCCATTCTCTGTAGAAAATTATCTTGAACCGTTTTCTAAATACTAACTATGATCTACAAATTTGATTTAAAAATCAATGAATTTAACAAAGACTCGTGCCCAAACAAAACGGGTAGGGGCAAGAGTGCAATGGCCTGAACAAACAATCGCAACAAGATTAAATATTTAACAATTGAATATTTGGTTTTCTTAATTGTAGAATTGCAGAGAAGAGCAAGATTCATGGATGTGCTGCGGGTGTGTACCCGAGCTTAGGCATAGGTGGGCATATAACAGGAGGTGCATACGGTTCCTTGATGAGGAAGTATGGTCTTGCTGCTGATAACGTTCTAGACGCAATGATCGTTGATGCTAATGGAAAATTACTAAACAGAACCACGATGGGAGAGGATCTGTTTTGGGCGATTCGAGGAGGCGCAGGAGGGAGTTTCGGGATCATTTTATCATGGAAGATCAAGCTTGTTCCTGTTCCTGAAACCCTAACCGTGTTTACACTCACCAAAACGTTAGCGAAAGACTCAGGATTCAAGATTCTTTCAAAGTGGCAACAAGTTGCAGACAAGCTTGTTGATGAGCTCTTCTTACGAGTGTTCTTCACCATAGCCGGAAACAATGGAAACAAGACTGTGGCAATGTCTTACATAGGTCAGTTTCTTGGCGAGAAAGGCAAATTGATGGAGGTAATGCACAGGGATTTTCCAGAACTAGGGCTAACTCAGGAGGATTGTATAGACATGAGCTGGATCGAATCCATTGTCTACAACTCTGGATTCCGGACAAACCCTCTTCCTCCTCCTGAGATTTTGCTTCAAGAAAAGTCACCTATCGGAGAAGTTTACTTCAAAGGAAAATCGGATTTCGCTAAAGAACCTATTCCTGTTTTAGGTCTTAAAGGGATGATCAAGAAGTTTCTTGAGGAAGACGCAGTGTTAGTTATTTGGACTCCTTACGGTGGAATGATGGATAAAATCCATGAATCTGATATCCCATTCCCTCATAGAAGCGGGACCATCTTCATGATTCAATATTACAAGAGTTGGTCAGACAGCGAGAAGAGACCGGACATGCGTATCAAATGGATCAGAGAGCTGTACGATTACATGACGCCTTATGTCTCAAGCAATCCAAGACAATCATATGTGAACTACAGAGATCTAGACCTGGGAAAGAACTCCAAGAACTCAAAGGAAAACTTGAGAAACGCTCAAATCTGGGGAGCTAAGTACTTCAAAGACAATTTCAATAGATTGGTGAAGGTTAAAACAAAGGTTGATCCAGAGAACTTCTTCAGACACGAACAGAGTATCCCACCACTTTGCTTAAGCTAAGTTCATGATCTGTTTACAACAATATTTAAATAAGAATAAAGTTTCTTGGATTGCAATGAACTCGAAGAAATCGAACAATGTTTCTTCTTTCTTCCTTTCTTTCTTTCAGACAATTTTTAATTGCTATGATATTAAATAACGTGTGTGTACCTTAAAATTCATAATAGTGCGATTCTGATACCTAAATGATATTTTGCATTTACACGAGAATAAAAAAATGTCGAAGAAAACTTTCACAGCTGAAAATACAAAGCAATAGTTATGCCCACTTGTGACCGAAGTGGGACATGTAACACAATTATATGGGTTTCACAACATCATTAGTTACTAATTCGGGAGACTCAGACATTTTATCTATAGGGGAACAATGCTTACAATCTAAAACTTTCTTTGTCGTCTAACAAAGAGAAATTTTCATCTCTATAGACATAAGCGGTACTATTTGTATATATAGAAATCATATACATTATATGTTTTCATAAGAAAAAACATACGCATAGATCCCAACTTCTCCATATCTCAAATTGAAAGTTACTTGGTCTTTCTTCCATAGAACAAGTTCAAATATATATATTCACAATATGTAGACCTCAAGTTCTCACTCTTTGAACTTGGAGGCGGTGTGGCTTCGGTGCTAAAACCAGGAAAATAAAAAAAAAAATTCATTAGAAGCTTCCTCAAAGAAGAGAATTGAGAGTGGGTAAAGATGAGAGTGGTGGTTACCGTTGGGATTGGCCGGCTCATAGAAACATTTGAAAAGCGAGACAGCTTCTTCTGCCATCATTCCTCCTCTGCATATGTATCCTTTTCCTCTTTGAGCTTCTTTACTAGAGATCACATAACTTCAAACTAGTCAACACATTTTCATTGTTTTAAGATTGTAGTGAACGTATGACCTACATGATATCTGACGGCTGAAAACTGCCTAAGTGTAACAACAAGAGGGAACCACATCCCCCAAACTTATCATTTGCACATCCATAATATACTTCCTTTATAATTTCAATTAAGAATACAGTAAACCCTTTTATCATCAGAAACATAAACTCGTAAAAAACAAAAAGGTCTAATACAGCTTAAGGAATCATATACCTAGAAACGATAAGGCTGATGCACACATTAAGCAAGGTTCATATGTTACTTAAAGAACACATTTGGAGAATTTTTCAGCGATTTGTGAAGGTGAGGGACTAATTTTCCGCCATTTTCCGACGAGTTGATCAATTGCTTCCATCTCTGCATGTCTTGTGGCCTTTTCAAACATAATTTGCAACAATCAAATATGTTTATGCATTAGTCAACGAAATAATATAGAGAGAAGCTAGTGAACGTAGACTATATTAATTAACTAGATTTTAATATAGATAGAATTTGTCAAGCATACAGTTGCTTTTGAAAGTTGTGAATGATTAAAGAGATTTTAAGAAATCGTATCTCACCTTTTAAAACATTCTTATTAGTTTATTTTATTTGTATTATATTTCTATTGTTAAGATAGTCAATATGAATATCTCATTGATAAAACCGCTCTTAGGACTTTTAACCCAATATCACATTATGCACTTAGAGATTAATGTGACTGACAAAAGAAATCAAATTTTGTTTATAATTAACGGAAATCCTATGAGCTATGAAAGATGAGCATGAGAAAGGTATGGCAGAAAGCTCAAACATTGGTTACTTGAGAGAAAGAGACAAAACAAAGATTGGTCTGAATTTGGAACTAGAGATTTGATTGATGATTTCATACCCAATTCTTTTGTGTTTCTCTCGTGCGATGAAAATCAGCACAATGTCTACTGCTTCAACGATGAATCTCTCTCTCTCTGCTCCTCCATCAAAAACGAACGAAGTTGACTTAAGGGCCAAGGCTCAAATAACAATAAGAGGGAAACTAAAGCATTAAATAATCAGGCCCACTAATACAAGAATTAAAAGCCCAGGAAGAATCAACGGATTTGTTGAATCTCTCAGAGGACAGGTGTCCACAGATCCTTGAATGAGCTCAAAGCACGAGACTTTAACACCGTCTCCGTCGCCGGAATCACTGATTTGGTCGGCGAAATCCACCTGAGCAACGGAGCGAAGAAGAACTTGGGTCGTATTCAGTCTATATTGTCTCCGAGACCCAGAAAGAAGGTCAGTTTTTTGGATTTTTCTTTTCACGAGGAATAGCTTATCTTCCTTCTTGCGATTTGTGGTCTCGATACTCGAGGAATTTCCTGGAAATCGAAGCTGTTCTGTGTAATTGCTATGTGACTAAATTGTTTATTGGACCGTGTGTTTCTAGATTTTTCAAGTTTTGAGCTTCAAATGGAAGTTGATTGCTTCGACTTGTTGAATCAGTTCGAGCATGTTCTTGAATCTGACCCTCTCATGTGAGTATAAATGTTCTCTTTTTTTTTTTTTTTTTGAAGATTCCTTATGAGATAGCAATACTGTTGATTGAATTGGCTTCTTCCTCAGTTCTCCTTAGAAATGTAAAGAAACTCTATGCTTTTTGCCTTTCAAGTAAATGTTCAAGTTTTGATCAGAGAATGTTCGTTTTCATGCACTTCTTGTTCATCATATTAATTAAGGAATTGGGTTTAGTGATTTCACAACTCTCACTACATTCACATGACACAAGTTTCTTGGCGTTTTCTGATTAAAGCTTAGTGATAAGAGTCCATAAAACTTTTCTTGACAAAACTCGGACTTGTCTGCATTTCATGTCCTTCAATTTGCAGCTTTCCAGAGAAGTAAGCTCTTGCAATTAGCTCATTGTCTAGGCTCCTTATTGAGATTCCCGTACAAACCATCATTTTTAGTATAATCTCTTCGTGAACTTTAACTGTGTTGCAACACCCAGTCATCAAGGCCAAAAGATGTTGAGTAGGAATGTTCACCTGAGACTTGTTGTGTAGACACTACTGAAAAGACTGAGACTACTTACGTTGTTGAAATCACCTCTTACCCTTACTCGCCCCTGAAAAGCACACCTTGTACTCAGGGTGTAATAACAAAAAGTTCAAGAGCTTGAGTGTTATCGCTGGGACTTCAAATTCCACCAATCTCTGCCTGCTATCTGTAGCCTGTGTCTCCCTTTCGCTTCCTTCAATAGCATAGCACTGATCCGTAGTCTGGCTTTCATCCGTGATTTCCATAAATATAGCACCAACGCTCCATTGTTGAGAGAGCAAATTCTAGTTTTTGCAAGAACATTCATTTGGGAACAAGTGATGATTCGTCTGCATTCTCCGTACTCTGTGTTTTGCGTCCGACAAACTCAATACAGATCAATTCCAGCCCCCCTTATAATCTGACCATTCTGCATCCAAACTCTTGTTGTCATCTTTTCCAAACCCTTTAAAGAGTTCCTTCTTAGTATAATTTCCAATACTATACAACTCAGAACTCTATCATCGTCTTCTGCTAACTTCAGTTCACTATCCATCGAGCTTGTTTCACGCTCTAATATAAGTCGATCATCATAACGAAGACCAGATAACCCAGATCCATGTTCCCATCCTGTATCTACCTTCGATCTTCTCCCTTTGAAGTGTGCTCCCTCCGCCTTGCGATTTTCTGAACAACCTCTAAAAACTGAGCAGCGAAACATAACGTAGCACTAAAGAGCTTGCACCACATCACGATGTGGTGTGTACTTGGTTGATTTCTTTTTCCGAGCCCTGTGATATCAAAACTACTTAGTGATTAAGAGCTTGCACTTCATCACGATTTGTCAAGTACTCTCCTCGTTGTTTGCTTCCTTTAGTCTTTACACCTAAGAACAGCTCGGCATGGCTGAGATTACTCTGTCCTTTCTCCATTTTCTTCTTTTCCTCTAACTTCGTTTCCTGATTAAAGCTTAGTGATAGAGCCAGTGACTCTATCAACAAGGCGGTGACTTTTGATAATTGATAATTTGTATCGAGAGAAAAGAGAGAAATTGGTAATTTGTTTGATTCATTTGATACCTTTTCTCAGAAGGAAAACATAGGTTTAAAATACAATAACTCGAGCTAATCTATTCATAACGGAAAGTTGAGCCTATTCCACTTAGCTTGCTCTTATCACTTAGACATTCTCTTTCTATTATCCTCAGTGATGAAGTCGGGTTTATTCACCCCTCACAGTTCACGGTGCTGGATAAAGAAGCAGGATTCTTCAGTGAGGTCACAAGTTTCTGGAATCAAGATCATAAACTGGGAATATCAACCGATATACTTATGCGACTATGTAAAGATGCAAAACATGCGTTTCTGACTGCGTTCAACGAGTACAAACGCCATGAAAACGCGTCTCCTGAGTCCCCAGCTAAAAACACTCTTGAGAGCAAAGTCATGAAGCATAGCCAAGCTCTTTTGCTGTTAAGCTCAGACTTTGGAACTGCATGGAATGCAAGGTACTTAGTATTCATTATTGGCTTGGAATTTGAATTGCTTCATAATGTTTTGCTTCTTTGTCTAACCTCATCTTGTCTGTGTGTCCTGGAGATAGGAAGTTGATCTTGTCCGGAAAGAATCAACCATGCGCATACACGGAAGAACTTCGTCTTTCTAGGCTCATTCTTTCAAACTGTCCAAAGAGTGAACCAACATGGAGCCACAGGTCTGGTCTTTTGTAACTTTTATGTTATTCAAATACGTCTGTGTCATCATAACTAATGAAGAAGATGAAACCTATCCATAATAATCAGTGTTGTACCATTATTAAACCTCATAATATATTTGGTTTTTATTGTAACAGAAGGTGGATAATTAAGATGATTTCTCGGAGATTTTCCACACCACAAGAGATTATCACCAAAGAGTCTGAGCTAGTGGAGTCAATAGGCGAGGTTCAGATCAGTTTCTAGGTTTTATGCTTTATGTAATTAAGGTTCATCATATATTGTATGAAATAAATATTGGTTTCTCTCCTAATCTTCACAATTTGGCTATCATATTCTGCTAATGATCAATTTCACACCTTTTGCAGAGATCAAAGATGAACTATCGTGCATGGTATCACCGTTGCTGGTTGGTTTCCTACATGACAATCGAGCAGGTAAATCATTTCTCTACATTTTCAGATTTCCATATCTTTTGAACATATGGTATGTAATTGTTATCTGGATTATTGAACATTTTCGTCAGATTTCTTGAAATTCTTAAATCTCTATGATTTCATTAAATTGGCTACTTTTGTTATCTGCACTTGTCAAAGCTTTCATATAGTCTAAGATACACCATAAGTTTTCATAAATGTTGTTTGTTTTAGGTGCTACAAGAGTTGAACAAATCTAAAAAGTGGGCAGGGCTGCATGTAGCTGATAGTTCGTGCTTCCATTATCGCAGAGTAAGAGCCGCATAGTTAATTTTGATGCAACTTTGGTAAAGCTAGAGTATACGTCAATGTACATAACATAACAATGTATATTCAATCTTGTTAAGTTTTTTTATTTTTTGGCATTAATGTGTAGCGGCTGATGCTCAGAGTTTTGGAGGCACTTAATGTGAAAGTAAACAATGCTTCTGATAAAACTGAGGCACATAAAATCTGGATGGTACGCTTTGTCTTTATTATGTTTCACTTCTGCTGAAAATGAGAATGGTGCTTTAAAACATCTTTACAATAATGTGACAGGAAGAGCTTGATTGGAACAAAGAGTTGGTAGAACGTTACTTAGGACGAGAGGTATGATCATCTTTTGATCTTCAAACAAAAAAAAAACCAATATCTTTGTTGTATGATCAACAAGATAGTCTTTGTAAACAATGGAGATTACAGAAATTAGTGTGACTTAATTTGAGTTTGTTTCACTTTTTTTCTTTTCAGGCACTATGGCTTCACCGACGGTTCCTCTCTCTTAACTGGATAATGTATTTCGGTAGCAATCATTCATCTGAAACCGGAGAGAGTATCGTTATGAATAAAGAAACTGTCATCTTCATTGATAATGAGATCCATCTTCTAGAATCTTCTATGACCGTTAAGGATACCAAGTTTGAAGATTTTCAAGCTCAAGCACTACATGCTGCTGTCTACATGCTATGGCTGACAAAGGTTAGTGTATTGGTCTCGTCTTGTCCAAAGAAACTCCACCAAAGTGATCATCTGATGATTCATTGGTTTCTCATTCTGATATGTATTTGTTTATGAGCAGCATATTCCAGAATTGTGGAGAATGCTTGAGGAGAAGCTTGGAACAGAGAAACTCAAGTGTGTAGTGAACACAGTTGCTCAAGAGAGACCATCCTCGCTTTTGCATCAAATAGGTAGTTTTGCAGCTGACTGAACATTAACATCGATTAATTGATTTAAATGTTAAGTGATACTGTAAGGCCTCAATGTTATATATTGTTATTTATCTTAAATTTATTTACTGGCAATAACAGTTTATAATTTTTATGTCCACATAAACATAAAACATATTACAGAAAATATAAGATGCCTATCGAAATGTTTTACGTTAAAATTGTTATGCTTTTTCTGTTACTTAAAAAAAGGTATTCTAAGTATATTTGACATCTTTATTATTAATTGATTTGTTAACAGTAGAATTTTTTTTTTCATTTACAAGTTTTACCCATATATAATAATAGCTGTAATATATTTTCATCAACTATTTAATTTAATGAGACTCGCGTTTGGTCACAATCAAATTTTATATTCATATAAACACATTTTCTTCCATTGACCCACACAAAAAAACAATATATTCGATTTCATCTTGGTCATATCATGAGAAAAAAAGTCATCGTAGTAATGTAAACATAAGCACCTAATCTTATAAAAATACACGCTAGCTAGTTGAATTTGTACCATCCTCATTAATTTAGTGGATCTTGCTTTATCACAATCCTATACATTCATATCAAACACATTTCTTCATTGACAAAAAACACAATACAGCTATACAAATCCATTTCCATCTTGAAGCCTAATTGTCTTGTGTGTTTTGAATTCTCTCTTGCATATACCATTGGCTCGTAGGGATGAGAATTTCAAAACCACTCCCTACAATTTCTTATATTTTGTTTTTAGCCTCATATATTTCTTTCTACACGATAACTCCAACTTCTTCTTCTTCTCTACAACCAGACTTCATCAAATGTCTCCACAGAAACACAAATGTTAATTTCCCACTCGACAAGACGTTCTTCACTTCCAAAAGAAACGCATCCATCTTCAACGAAGTCCTTGAATCAACGGCTCAGAATCTCCGGTACTTGACAAAGTCAATGCCTAAACCGGTATTCATATTCACACCGGTTCATGGGTCTCACGTTCAAGCTTCCATCATCTGTTCCAAGAAACTCCGAATTCATCTCCGTGTTAGAAGCGGCGGTCACGATTACGAAGGCTTGTCTTATGTCTCGCAGATCGAAACACCGTTTATATTGATTGATCTGTCGAAACTGAGACAGATCAATGTTGATATTGAAGACAACAGTGCTTGGGTTGAAGCTGGTGCTACAAATGGTGAGCTTTACTACAGGTAATATGATCAAATTAGCATATACTCCTCTGTTTTAAATAGATTAATTTTCTATAGTTTTTTTGTTTCATATTGATTTTCTATTTTATATCAAAATGTTACCTAACTGAAAACTTCAAGTAAAAATTGAAAATATTTGAATTAATGAATTTCTATTGTATATATTTATGGGAAAATGTTTAGGTGTGAAAATAAATGATAGATTTATAAGTAAACATTAAGTATTGCTTAAGTTGTGTGAAAACACTAGAAAACCTAACGCATTAAACAATGTTTCACTAATCTTGTAATATAATTGTTATTTGCCTTCTTTAACTCCAGAATTGCAGAAAAGAGCAAGGTCCATGGATTCCCCGCGGGTTTGTGCACGAGCTTAGGCATGGGAGGGCATGTAACAGGAGGTGCATACGGTGCCTTAATGAGGAAGTTTGGTCTTGCTGTAGATAATGTTCTAGACGCAAAGATTGTTGACGCAAACGGTAAATTACTAAACAGAAGCACAATGGGTGAGGATTTGTTTTGGGCGATTAGAGGAGGCGGTGGAGCGAGTTTCGGGATAGTTCTAGCATGGAAGCTCAAGCTTGTTCCTGTTCCTGAAACCCTAACCGTATTCACCATTACAAAAACATTAGAACAAGACGCTAACTTCAAGATTCTTTCAAAGTGGCAACGAGTTGCGAACAAGCTTGCTGAAGAGCTCTTCATACGAGTGTTGTTCAGCGTCGTCGTGGGGAACAATGGGAACAAGACTGTGGCAACATCGTACGTAGGTCAGTTTCTTGGGGATAAAGGCACCTTGATGGAAGTTATGAATAAGGGTTTTCCGGAGCTAGGGTTAACTCTAGAGGATTGTAACGAAATAAGCTGGATAGAATCCGTTGTTTACAATGCTGGATTCCCACAACGTTCTCCTATTGAAGTCTTGCTTGAAGCCAAGTCGCCTATCAGAAAAGATTTCTTCAAAGCAAAGTCGGATTTTTTCAAAGAGGCTGTACCTGTTTTAGGGCTCAAAGGAATGTTCAAAAGATTACTTGAAGAAGACTCGTCATTTATGATTTGGACTCCTTATGGTGGAATGATGGATAGAATCAATGAGTCTGAGATCCCATTTCCCCATAGAAACGGAACCATCTTCATGGCTAACTATTACACGGGATGGTCAGAGACAGAGAACGACCAGAGTCCACCAAACAAACACATCGAATGGATCAGAGATTTGTACAGTTACATGACGCCTTATGTCTCAAGCAACCCAAGGCAAGCTTATGTGAATTACCGTGACCTAGACCTCGGGATGAACAAGAGAAACGCGGAATTGAGTTTCAAGCAAGCTCAAGTTTGGGGAGCTAAGTACTTCAAGAACAATTTCAACAGATTGGTGAAGATTAAAGCAAATGTTGATCCAGAGAACTTCTTCAGACACGAGCAGAGTATCCCACTTTACCCTTGTCGCAGCTAAGTTCATGATAACGACACCAAAATCAATCAAATATATATGAATAAATGTATCTTGCAAATGTATTGGTTTAAATATACTTCAGATTTTTTTAATGATCACTGATTCATTTTTAATTACTTCTTATCAATGCAAGTTTTACATTCAAAAGCCATCGCATTTTTTTTTTTTTTTTGTACTTTTGTTTTCTGATACAATTTATACAAAACACTTTTTGAATATCGTGTTCTTTTTTTATAACATTCGATTTAGCATTGGATTTTTGAACTAATATGGTAGAACCTCTGGACCGAAATCATAATGATCAAGAAGCCACAAATAGTGATTTTACAGTTTGGAATCGAATCAAGTGGCAAAGAGAAGTAAGAGAGAGGATTTGAGAGCCGCGCGTTTAGATGCACACGCATTTTGGAACCATATTGTTCACATTAAACATTTTATTATAACATAGTGTTTTAATTTGAAGGGAAGGGGGGGGGGATTTTGGTAACTAAAAACATTAGTCTAAAGAGTTTTCTCCTTTTCTCCTACAGTTCATACAAATGCCAAAACACAATAACGAGTTAAAAAAAAATTACAAGTACAGGAATTAGTGATTTCACAACTCATAGAATATATATATTCATGGTCAAACCTGATTTAAGTAGAAAATTTAAAAACTCATAGTTAGTCAACAAGGTGCTGTGGTGTAGTGGTTATCACGTTTGCCTTACACGCAAAAGGTCTCCAGTTCGATCCTGGGCAGCACCATATTTACCTATTTTAATTTTAATTAATTAACAAAAATTGAAATGGCCGTTACACCCACTCATTCATTTTCACTTCCGAAAATATATACACATTTCACCATCTTCGTTGACCTGATAAAGCGATCTTCTTTTCCTTTTCTAAATTCTTTTGCAAACCCTAAAATCTCATCTCCTTCACTGTGGACCACTACGTCACACACTACTCTCTCTCCACCGTCAAACTCCAAAACCCATTCTTCATTTCACCCAAAATCTGTCCAATTTCTTAAATCGGTTTCGATCTACTTTTTACGGTAAACCCACAATTCGCATCTTCGCCAATCCGATCTTGCAGTTCGAAAACTCGAGTACGGCTTTAAATTGAGGGAGATTCCGAGCAAAAGTGGAAGAATTCGAAACAACTAAGGTAAGTTTTATGATTTGACTTGGGTTTATCGATTTACATTGTGAAGAGAGAGAGAGCAAAGGCAACACCATTTCACTGTACATTTCGGCTTAGGATTGCTTATTGGGTTTTCTCCTGCTCATTTCCGTAGTTTCATTGTTTTGTTTTCTTTGGTAGTTAAATTGAATTGAGAGTCGATTGAAGAAAAAACATCGATTTTTGTGGAATTTGTGTCTTGGAATGGAATCTCAATCGTTAGGAAATGGGTTTGTGGCTTAGTTTAGAATCAAGATTCTACTTTATGCTGAAGTTTAGGCTTGTGGATTAGAGCTTCGTATCGAATTAATTTGCTTGATACGACCTTATACTTCAGATTTAGAATTGTGTTTTGAGATCTGAAATGTCGTTATCATTTGCTTTACCTATATCTTAGATACAGTTTTGATCTGTTTCGTTGAAGGCTTTGACTTGATTTTACTCTGTAGGTGCCTTCTTGTATGATTAGAGAAGCGTAAGATGTTTTGTTTAGAATGCTTAATTGAAAATGGATAAAGAAATTTAGTATCAATCGTCTGTGTAAAAGTTGTTTGTTCACCTGAGCCAGCGATTGTTGAATTATGCTGTGTTGGTGTCTATTTTGTTAATGATCGGAGGAGTATATTTACTAGTCAATTCGAATCATCTTGCGAGTTTTGTGTTAATTGGAGTCATTTACAGTGTTACAGTGTCCACAATAAGCAAAATAAACCAGTTCTGATTCTGCCATTTCAGATTTTTAAGGTGCATTGAGGAGTCTTGGAGCTTATTTTCATCTTATGTGGTGGTGCTTGAGAGGCTTTTTGTATGACGTAAATGCTCTAGATCAGAGAAGAGGCCTAACATGAAGTTATCAAATATTCCACAACGCTATGTGATAGTCTTCTTGACTTTCCTCAGCACCTCCGTGTGTTACATAGAGCGTGTTGGCTTCTCCATTGCATATACCGTCGCTGCAGATGCTGCAGGGATCAATCAGTCAAGCAAAGGAACCATACTTTCCACATTCTTTGTTGGCTACGCTTGTTCTCAAGTCCCTGGAGGTTGGGCAGCTCAGAAGATTGGAGGAAGGAAAGTTCTTCTTCTGTCGTTTGTTCTATGGTCCTCGACTTGTTTCTTGGTTCCTCTTGATCCAAACAGAGTCGGGCTCTTGGTTTTCGCCCGTTTACTCGTTGGTGTTGCTCAAGGTTTCATCTTTCCTTCTATCCACACGGTTTTGGCTCAGTGGGTTCCTCCTCACGAAAGGTCTAGACTTGTTTCGATCACTACATCGGGAATGTATTTAGGTGCAGCTTTAGGAATGTGGCTTCTCCCTGCTTTAGTTGAGCTTAGAGGTCCTGAGTCAGTTTTCTTAGCAGAGGCCTTAGCAGGTGTGATATGGTCATTGCTTTGGGTTAGATATGCGACTGACCCGCCTCGATCTGAGCATCCGAAAGCCGCTGCTGCTGGATTCGGAGGTGCTCTGTTGCCTACTAATGTAAACCACCATAATAAGGTTACTCACATCCCATGGAAGAAGATCATGCTGAGTTTACCCGTTTGGGCCATTGTGGTCAACAACTTCACATTCCATTACGCTTTATACGTGTTGATGAACTGGCTTCCTACGTATTTCGAGCTTGGACTCCAGATCAGTCTTCAAGGAATGGATTCATCAAAGATGGTGCCGTACCTCAACATGTTTGTATTCTCCATTGTTGGTGGGTTTATTGCAGACTATTTGATCACCAAGAGGATACTCTCTGTAACAAGAACGCGCAAGTTCTTGAACACGGTTGGGTTTTTAGTTGCTTCAGCGGCATTGATGGCTCTGCCTCAGTTTAGAACCTCGAACGGCGTGATCTTGTGTTCCTCTGTGGCTCTTGGGTTCCTTGCACTAGGAAGAGCCGGTTTCGCTGTGAACCATATGGATATCGCTCCGAGATATGCAGGAATTGTGATGGGAGTTTCGAATACTGCTGGTACATTAGCTGGAATCATTGGTGTTGATTTGACTGGGAAGCTTCTTGAAGCTTCTAAATTGGTTTACTCGGATTTGTCACACCCAGAGAGCTGGAGAGCTGTGTTCTTCATCCCGGGTTTGCTCTGTATCTTTAGCTCCGTTGTGTTTTTGCTGTTTTCTACCGGAGAAAGGATCTTTGATTGAGAAAGGAAAAGAAAAAGGATGAAACTTTTTTGATAAACACTTATCAAGATTAGTTAGTAAAGCCTCTCTTACATTTGAAGCCTGAATCAAAGACTGAATCGGATTTTTTGTGTGCAGTAAAGACTTTGATATCTTGTCCACACGCTCTTATTGGTATTCTTTTTTGGTGAATAAACTTGAATCACACACCAAGAGTATTATTAGTTGATGTTTCTATATATATACTAAGAATAAAAATAATAAAAATTGTAATATTTGGCCCCATTTTCTTCTTTTATCAGTCTTTGTTTACTTAGATTGAATAATGATTTGAGGGGTTTGTAATTGGATATTGTAACATTTTACGACTTCTTATCAAATGAGTGTTAACGATGCCATTATTAAATTCAGATGGTTAAAGTTCGGGTTTTTCTGTTTGAGTGTTAAAATTAGTTTGGAATATTTGGTTCGGTTTAGGTTTGGTATTAAAAATGTATATATTTAAATAACATAATCTATTTTTAATACACTTAAATATACTTTCTGTACATATTTATCAAAAATATTATTCTTTATGAATTTCCATTCATTTGCTTTGATTTGGATAAATTTCGGAGTTGGTTCAGTTTATTGATTTGGTTCAAAATAGTTTTCTACCATTTTGATTATAATTCGGTCCGAATTCGGATTGATGAATTTTTGACTCCATACGTTCTTGTGGTTCATTTCGAATTTAATTTCAATAAAATATTGCGTTTTTCTTGTTAATCAGTTTAATCTTCTTTTATCCTCACTGTAACACAAATGACTCATGCAGTGGGCAATAGCGATCATCAATTAAAGACAACTAACAATTAGAAAACGTCGACACGTTGCTCTCATGCCATTGAATTGCAGTAATTATACCTGACGCTAGCTTCATATAGTTTTTTAATATCAATTTATTCACATAAATAAATGTAGTAGAAAACTGTGGAAGTAATATAAAAGCTGAACTAATCACTCTCACTCGTTAGTCGTTACACACTTTTAATAATTATATATTAATTCAATAAAATTAAAAGTTACTCATATTGCTTATGGCCCCATAATATAAGAATTTTCTGAAACAATTTTGAAATTTTAAGAAGTGGAGATATTGAGAATTGAGATGGTAATTTTCTTTTCTTTGAAGATAGAGACTCGTCGTCTTTATGGATGCACTTAGGCACTGGCCCTTCTTAACAGAAATTAGATGGTGAAGAACAATTATTACCACAAAACTGTGAATACCTTTTCTTTTTTAGGTCTTTATCTATATGTAAATGCTGAGAAAAAATTCCAATAAGTGATAGATATGGTAATGCATATTAGAGCACGTAATTCCATTGTTAGCATATGATTGATTACTACTCAGCAAATAAATGAAAAGTAAATTATTTTTTATTACTAATCTTGGAAGCGTAATTTTGAATGCTCTTTTGTTTCTTATGTAACACAAAATTCCAGAAACAAATTTTCAATGAAATTAACATTTATTATTTCTACGTCGGTGTTAGTTGGGACCTAGTTTACTCTTATAGTCCTCTTCAACTTCATCAGTTCCATCAGAATCTCTGATACTCTCTCATCACCAGAACAAGAACAATGCTATCTCTCTGTAACTTCAAACCCAAGAAAACCAAAACACCAAATATGATAAAGCTTGAAGCTTTTGCTTTGTTTCTGT